CTCTTCTGAAAAAGAAAATAAATGCGATGGACGGACGCGGCAGCTTTCTCCAAATTCCCGAAGGTCGATCTGGAGCAGAGTGGGCTTTCCGGCACTTCAGCCTCTTCTCTATTCGCGGTTCCCCCCCGCCCCCCCCTGACGGAAACGCTGTGGCGGGAGGGGAACGGCAGCGGCAGAGGTCGGGGGGAGTCATCGTCCTCCATGCGGGCACAGGGCCAAGGAGGTTCAGCCCGCGCGGCGCACCGCCAGGAACCGCGCTCGCTCTCCTGCTTGCTTGCCCACGCGCGACGCCGGAGAGGAAGCTCGTCCCTTCCCTTCTGTTCCCAGCTCCGGTAACTATCGCCGACGTTAAGTCTCCGGCCCTCCCTTAAGCAGCCGATGCAGAACAAAGCGGCCTTCCACCTCTTTCCTCCACCTTATTTGTCACGAAATTTGCTCCCCAAAGCATGGAGACCCTCTTTCTTTTCCCCGCTCTCACTGTCCCCCCCAACCTTCCCTCCCAGCCGAAACTCACCTCTTTCGGGAACAAATCCTTTAGAGAAAAAAAAACACTTCCGCTGTAAATACACAAATAGCACGTACTACACAACCTGCGAAGAAACCTTAACTGTCTCCTCCCTCTGCTGGGACGCTACTTTTATAGAGGGAGGGAACCTAAAACGTCATGACGACACAATACAGACACGCAACGCGCGGAGCTATTGGCATCTGCTTTCGCCGGCGCCATGACGTTAGCTGATACAAAGACAGTTTCCCCGCATCCTGCATGCGATTGGATGGAAGCTCGAAACCCGATTGGTTATTAAAATTGCGCGCCTATTGGCTACCGTGGGCCGGAGCAAACCAATTACAATTGCAGTGAAGCCGGGGCTTCTGATTGGACAACAGAAAACATGGTTTGGATCCTACTTTTTGTTGCAAAGCTCTACAATGGAAAGTCAATGGGAAAGAAAAGCAGCCCGTTCTGAGTACCCTGAACTCAATGGGGAGGGCAAATTAGAGGAAACACAGCCTGGCAAATACGAAGGGAAAGTGAAATGATAGCAGAGGTAGGAGTAATAGTTGACTGTACCTGACGTTCATTAGCCGTCATATCCAATTTTATTTTTCAAAGTTTCTTTACGTTATCTATAAATAAGGAACATTTATAAAGTTCAGTTAACTTTTCATTTCATTTGCCTAATACTTTTAATATAACTAACACATACCAAGTTTTCTTAATTTTTAAATCATCAAATAACATGAAATATAGAATTGGTTTGTATATTTTATTAGTAAAACTAACAGACCATTATCTAGTTATCATGATTAAATAACCATCTATATGGCCTGCTGCACATTTACAAAATGACAAAAAACAGGTCAGTCTGATTACAAAAAATCAAGCTAGACTCTAGAATGACAGTTGGCTGTTGCATGTAAAGTACAATGTTGACAGCGTATTTTAGATATAAAATGCATACCAAATTATATTTGGCAAGTTTGGTCTAGTTCAAGGGTGTCAAACTCACATCATCATGTGACATATTGGGACTTTTTTTCCTCTTTGCTAAACTGGGCGGGGCAGGGCCCACGGGCAGTGAGTTTGACACCTGGTCTGGTGGGTAAGGCAGCAGCTAGAAACCAGGAGACCATGAGTTCTAGTTCCACCTTAGCCATGAAACCTGTCTGGATTATTCTGGATTTGTCATACATAAATACAACTGTCTAATAATACACAACAAAATTACAACAAAATGATATTTTTAAAAATATAATTGTGTAACATTATGGATCCTACAGCTAATTTCTAGCCACACGGGGATCTGGATACAAATCAATAATTACGTTGTTTTTAAATTAGGTTAAGAAACTATTAATATGCCTGTCAATTCACAATTTTATTTGCTTTTAGCATTATTGCTAAACTGAGAAAGCATCTCAAGAAAACATACCTGTAATGCACAATTGACTAGATTAAAAAAAACACAATAGGTACTGTTTTACAATGAGATTTCAAGATAGAAAAAAATGGATATAATTAACAATCTTATTTCCATTCACACACACAATATAAATATACTGCCAATATATTGTCAGTATACAAAAGTACTAGATGTGGTATAAAGCAATATCAACCATAATTATATTTTAAGTGTAGATAAATACAATTAAAAGCAATTCATTTTAAACAACATACATTATTATAGAACCAGCATAGGCAACTTATAACCCTCCAGATGCTTTTAAGAATTATTTCTTTATTTATAGGACCATTTTAATATTTTTTTTTGCCTGATAAACATGTTTGATCAATGTTTTGTAAGAAAAGGTATATAATGAATGGGAGTTCTTTACCCCATCTAATTAAAATTTTAAACCCTTGCCATTTCTGCAGTGTTTTTTACTTAAATGTGACTATTTAGCAACAGGTGATTAAATAGTGGAACATCTAGGCAATGCTTGTAAAATAGAGAGGAGGGTTTCTACTATACCAATGTAATTTATAACAATATTACAATTCTTATTCAGGTAAACAATATTCTATCCAGCCAAACCAGCTTCAATCATTCTTCACCACTAATCTTTGAGTACAATAGAAAGTAGTTTGATTTTTTAAAATAATGGGATAATCATCATGGAGAAGAGTACTAATCAGTTTGTGATATCCCATATTGGCTCCAAAACATTATGCATACCTTTCTGCTGTTTCACCTAGTACCTTGGTAGCTATTGTGAATTTGTATTTTGGTTGTTCCACTAATACGGTAGATAAGAAGTTAACAGTGGTGGTATTTGCTATGTTCTATCCATATCAGGAAATAAAGTTTCAGTAGAAATGATTGATGTACCAATTGTGTCCATATCTATGATGAAAAGACCTGGAAGTGGTAACTCACACTCTCATCATTAGAGGATAAATGCTGCAATATACTCTGCCTGGGACTATCTTTGGAAACTAAAATTGCTGCAAATTGCAGCTGGCTATGTACTGGCAATCAAGAACTGTTTCAAACATATTACATTAATGTTGTAAATGCTGTATTGTTTGCCAATAGATTTCCAAATACTGTTCATTTGACCTTTGAAACTTTCTACAGCACGGGTGTCAAACTCGATTGTATCACGTGATGTATCATGATATATCACAATGATATATCACTTTTTTGCCTTTGCAAAGCTGGGGTGGGCATAGCCTGCGCATGATACATCCAGCTGTGGGCCGCCAGTTTGACAGGTCTGTAAATCTAGTTTGGCTCCTGGGTACATTCAGAATGGATTTCTCTAGGCAGAACCATTGCAACCAAAGTGCTCATTTCAACAGCAAAAATTATTCATCCCCACCATGGAAGATGGGATAACTGGAGGTTCAAGGATAACATTTCTTAGTTACAGACTGACAAAAACATTATCATTGTTCTGTAAAGCAATCAAAATGGAATTGGAGGGGTCTTTGGTACTTTTTACCTACGATGATGATAGCACCCAATGTTGCTTTATCTATTTAGATACTATATGACAATGTTTCTTATCAACTTTTTTCTCACTTGGATTTATGAATGATCATTGTTTTCTTACTGTGTATTATTTAAATTGCAATATTATAAATCACAATAAGTCTACATACAGTAGAAATTCAGTAAATAAATATATACAATGTTTCCTTGATCCTAAATAGCTAAAAAAGCAGCATAGTATTTCATTTTTCATATTGCCTAGGTTTACTTATCAAATAAACTATCATTATTTTACAATATATATAAAACCTGCTGAGTCTAATACTCTGCTTCACACATACATTATCCCCCAAAGTAGTTTACAAACAATAGTGGTTGGCGCCATACGGTAGCAAACGGTATGGTTTAGCATTATATGTGAACCATTCATTCCTAAACTTCAATAAAGATTAAGTAGAATGAGATGAAGTATGATGATCCTTTCATTAACCTAATGATCTGGAGAATTATACTGAAGAAAGCTTGACTGTCATAGTTAAAGAATACAATACAACATTACTAAAGATGCCAAAAAACTAAGAAAAAATATCAAAAGCCTTGCTTAGATGTTAGAAAATGGTTCAATCCTCCCTAACATATTTCATTTAGGACAAACCAAATGAAATATTTATTCAAAGGAAAAATAGATTAATGTCCATGAAACAAAACAGCACAGTCTGAGATCTCAAATAGATGCATAATTTAAACACAATACCTATACCAGGATTTACTTTCAAGGAATAAGTATGAAACCTGGCAGCATACAAATAACATGGTATTGTGTGCTTATTGGAAAAGGGTAAATGCTCTGGCTTATGACACCTTAACTATAGGAACAAAGTAAGAATTGTAAAGTATTTTGTATGTAAAGTATAACCATATGATTAAGTGCCATCAAGTCATTGTTGACTCTTTAGAACCACATAGATTTTTCTGTGACTAACTATATGAGTAATCAAATACTGTCATGACATGTTATAACAAAGATGAAGTATTGTTATGGCATAAATTTGTCAAGGTACAGGTAACTTACATTATTATAGAAAAACCTTGTGGTACTCATCACTTTTCTTATAACAAAATATTTGATAGATCATAATCCAGCAGTAGATATATCAATTTTAACAACTCAAGTTTATGGAATTAAACTTCTGCTTTAGAATCAACAATCCCACTGTTTTTACTATAACATATGTGATTTGTAATTTGTGAGATAATTTTGAGGGTACTGTCTCTCTGTGTTGGAATACCAATGTGTTATTCAAAGAAAAGACCATACCTAGCCTTTTTAATAAACTGGACTCCTTAATAATCCCTAACAAATTTGCAATTACGGTATTTTAGTATGACAACCCATCCATCATCGTTTAGCATCACCACCTACATTGCATTCTTAATTCAAACTCACTAGCAAATCTTACAGCATCTAGCGACATTTACTTTCAAATTATAATGCTAACATCGAGAAATAAAAATAATTGGGGGAGGCGTAATTAAACGATTCATATCTAACGAAACAGCAACCCTGCTTACATTTTCTCGAAGGCAATCCATGGACGGATTGCTTCCAACTACAACTCCTATAAATCCTAGCGCTGTTACAATATCCGGAACAGCAAGCGCAGAGGCCCTCTGTACTTGTAGTTTCAAGCACCGGAAGCCTAGTAGAGGAAAAGGGGGATTTTCCGCCATCACCGGGACTACAAGCCCCAGCATGCTTTGGGTAACCCGGGGCGGTAATGGCGGCGGTAGCGCCTGCGCATTGCGGTCTCCGTGCGGACCGCGCAGAGTGAATAATAAAGCTCTCCTCCTCGGTGGTAGCGGGCGGCGGAGGAGGGAGCGGAGGGCAGGAGCATGTCGAAGGGCCCGGTAGGGACCGGGCCTCCTGCGACCGGGCCGGTGGTGGCCGCCAGCGCGCTCCAAGCGCAGCCCGAGAAGCCGCAGCACTACACGTACGTAGCGAGAACACCCGCAGCCGCTTCTTACTGCTGCTGCTCCCGCCGCCGCCACCGCCGCACCCCTCCGCCCGGCGCCCGCCCGCCCGCGCGCCACACACGCCTGACGTCAGCGGGCAGCGTGCGGCACGCGCGCACGGAAACAAACGGCCCGCCCGGAACCGGCTGAAACCGGTCGTGGTCGGCCTGGGCCGGAGGAATTTTGGCTGTGGGAGGGGGCGGGGAAGGAGCGGACACCCCCCCCCCATCTTGCGCTTTTGGTGCGGGCGGGCGCGCGCGCACCTAACCGCCCCATAAACACAAACACACCCCACAGGCGAGAGGCGCGCAAGTGCCCATGATGCGTTGCGTCGCCTTCGTCCTACGGGTCCTCTGGTCCTCCGTTGGTCTTTAAGTTGGAGGAGTGGGGGGGCGGGGGGCGTCCGTCTCGTATCTGCTCCTCGGAGAGTCCCCTTCTTTTCGCCGTCGCCCTCTTTTTTTTGTCTAATTGGCTAAATCCTCTGCCTCGCGCTAGCCGAAGGGGACCGTTTTCTGGCCGAGCGGTGGACAAGTCGTTCTGTTAAAATGAAATCCTCCTCGGGCTACTCGGAAAGTTCGTGATCCGAGGGTCCTGGTGGGGAAAATTGGGGTGTCTTGTCACGAGCCTTCATAAACTGCCTTTTCTGTACTCGTGGTCTGTCTCGTGAAATCGAGAGCATCCTAAGTGAAACACCGTATACACAAATACTGTGACTTTCCTCGCCATTTTCTCTTCCTGATGGCTGTCATTAGAGGGGGGCGGGGGGGGGGAGTTTCTGGCCAAGACTGCAAATTAAAACACTTAAACGCCTAAAGGGAACTGTACTTGGGTTTCTTTCTTTCTTTGAATCCTCGGGAACAGTAAGTGCCTTAATAAGGAATTTTGAGTCCCGTAGCATATTGTGAGGAATAATTCAGCTTGCGGTTAAAATAAATGGTCTTCAGAAAATAACAAAGCATAAAAAAATATTGTTATATTATATTGATTTCATAGAAAATGTCTTAATAGCATCAACATAAAAGAGTTAAGTATTAGAATAAGTTGTCTCTTATATTTATAGGTTGCCCTCTTCTGTTCAGAATTCCTAATAATTTCGTATATCTGAGAGCAGTTGCTGTAGCAGGTACAGGTATTTTAGATCTGTTAGTAAATACTGTGCTACTTTGGGACCTTGTAAATATATTTTGGGTGACAGTTAATTTGTGATATTGTTATTTTGTATGTTACTGTACTGGCAACACCTATTTCTACATCTATTTTATTGCATCAGGCAAAACTTGTTTTGCAGGGAATTGGTCATACATAACCTGTTCTACATTAATCTGAGGAATTCATTACCATAAGATGTGATGGGCACTGATTCGGATGGCTTGGAAAGGAGTAAATAAATTCATGGGGGGGGACATTCAAAGGCTATTTATAATGTTAGCTCTATGAGGGCACCATGCCAGCAAATAACAGTTACAATGAAACAATAATGGAAAGGGAATATGAAGGACTCCGTGTCATGATTATGAGCATCCTACAGGCATCTAGTTGGAGGCTGTGAGAAGCAGAATGGTAGACTAAAATGGGTCTTAGCCTAATTCTGCAGGGTTATTCAGATGATTGGTCAGTTGTGCTGCTAATGTCTCAAACCTAGCAAAAGCATAATAGAAAACTTGCAATACTGGGTGTATAATTGGATGATACAATAATTACTTAATTCCAACCTGCATGAGTGATTGAAGAGATTGTCCTTAATTGCAAAACAGGAAGTCTTTCTATAGATTAACCTCATATACCTACATCATCACAATTTTGAATTGTTGATAGAGATCATCATGCATGTGATTATCAGACAGTATGCAAATTGCATTTATAATAAAAGTTAATATAATGTTAGCTGACTTTTTTCCTGGTTTCTGTCACCTTCCACACCTTCCTTTGTATTCTCAAAATGCATTGGGGGAATCTCACGGAGGTGATTGATACTTGGTGTATATGAGGACCTATAGAAAAGAGAAACTCATTCTCTCCCTGCTTTCACTGATTAAAATATCAGTGAAAAAAAATCTGATTGAATTTCACTCCATTTATTTCACAAAAATATCAGAAACAGCGAAGTAAGAATATTTAACAAAACAAAAAAGAATAGCCATGTGACCTGGTAATAATCTGGTTCATTACGATGAATATTTTATTTTATTGTTTTTAATTTGTTTATGCTGAATTCTATTATTTAATTTACTGTTTGCAAATGTACAATTTAAAAACGAACTTCTTGTTAAAATTAGCTTTGACAAATCATGTGATGTTGTAAGAAGCTCACAGCACTAAATGCAATTATATACATCTTCTAGTGAAATAACATCTGTACCATAATGAGTTCTCATTCATCCCAGTGTCTTCCAGAATAGTTCTAGAGATTTGGGAGAAAATCTATAGCACATGTTGGAAGTATATAAGGAACTTCAGGATTAAGAGGAAGAGGGTGGGAGAGTAATATATAACCAAATGACCACATGTATGAAAAGTGTGTAGCTGATAGTTGGTTTTAGGTAGCTTTCAGATGTTTATATGCATGTTTGGATCACACTTTCAAATGCACGGATTCTACCTTTGATGTATTTGCTTTCATAAATGTGTAACAGTTTATATTTTGCTTACGTTTTTGCAAACAGAGAATGTGTCTCCTGTCCCTTCCAAACCATACCAGTGTAGTGTTGCTACAATTTCTCCCTTACGCTTCTTCTGTGCTGCTGAGGCATATTATTATAGGCATAACATATGTCCATATGTGTGGGAGAATTTTTTTCGACAGTCTGTTTCTTGTAGGGATATTTATGAATTATTACACATAGCATTACATCGTGACTGATGCCAGTCTTAAGTAAGAAATTCAGTTCATGTACCAAATTTGTTTGTGTACCTGTGTACTGATTCCTAGTGACTGCCTGACCTGATCCCTTCAGGGAGAGTTTTGGAAAGATTTTTTTTTAAATGGTTTTGCATGCCTGCTTCCTAGGGATGAGAGAGAGTATGGCTAGTCCAAGGTCACCCAGCTGTTTCTGTGGTACTAGGATTCACAAATTTCAGGTTTATAGCCTGGTGCCTTAATCACATCACCAAACTGGCTCTCATGTGCCACTACTCAAGACTATTACTGATTTGTAAATTTTGTGAAATAATTATAAATATGCAAGATGCATACTATTGAGGGAAAATATCTTTATAAAGAAAAACTTTAAAACTTGTATTTCTCAAACCAAATACAAGATACTAGCTAGCCTGATACCTACCTACCTAATGCAGTATTTTGATTAAGATAATGTTTAAAGTTGAGTGAAAATACGCTGATCTACTTCTACAGCTTCAGTATAATTTGTATTTAACTGTCAGGCAGGTGCATATTTTGTTAAGGCTTTCAGAAGTGAAAATTGAAAGGATTTTAGCTTTCAGAATAAGAACATATGTGGAACTGTTTTGTTTTTGCATATATTTAAAAACAAGATAATGTAAGTAGAATTCTATCCATAGCCACTATCCTCCTTGGGCTGATCTTAACTAGACAAAAAAAGGACTTTTTTAAGAATTCGATACTGTATTGAAATAGTGAGAATGGTGAGAGAATAGTCATGAAGGATCTACTAATGCTAAAACTGTTTATAAATGTAATGTAAACAATTGTGTTTAAACTGTGTCTCTTGTATGAAAAATACTTCTGAGTTATCAGTTTTGAAGTCATAAATTTAAAGTTATAGTGCATGTCAAGATTCTGACTCCTTTTTATGTAAAGTTGGCTTTTTTTTCTTTGAGTTTAGGCAAATCATGTCTTATTTGTAATAGCAATACATAAATAAAATAATTGGAAACCAGGTTCAAAGCACACTTCTATTCAAAAAGGAAGCCAATAGCGCACAGAAATGAAATGCTGTAAATGATTGTTAATGTAATGCCATGAGTTCCTATTTTTACCTGGACTACACTTCTTATAATAAACTGTGTTCCTGTTTAATATAGAACGTACTTGTATGTAAAGGTCTTTTGGTGACTATAAAGAAAGCTCCTTTTTCACCTCCAGATAATTTTTTCTCTCATTTGAAAGTGACGCTAGGATAATATGAATGTTAAAGTTTTTGAAAAAACTGCAATATTTAAGTTATTTTATTTGACATAATTTAACTTTTTTGCTACTGAAGAAATAGTTGTTCTGTCCCTGATTGTGGAGAAAAACAGTAATGAACTCATTTCCTAGCCACTTATAAATAGGCTCATAGTTCCTATTTTGATCCTGAGTTTTCTTGGAATTTAGCTACCTATTTTCAAGCGTGCCTTCAAATCTGTAAGTATTAGAAACAGCTTTCTTCCTCTCTGTACGTAAATCTTAAGTTTCTTAGGAAATTGAATTCTGCTACAATGTCATGTGGTCTAATTTACACTTCATGATTAATTAAACTATAGTTTATTGGCTAAAGAATGGTTATGGATTACTTGTTCTGATTAATTGTGATATACTAGTTTGTAGAAAATCAGAAACAGCTATTCCATAGCAAACTGTACTTTAAATAGACCACCACATTTACACCAAGAGTACATGCAAGTTTTTGATGATCCAACAGTCATGTTGTAGTCTGCGTACTTGTGAGATCGGCATGAAGTATAAATATGCTAAATGGAATCTGTGCATCAGTTGGCCTTTGACTTGCCCATTTGTAATCCACAAAACAGATATTAGTACTAAACGTAGAAAAAGTTTGTGTAAAAGGTTGGAAAAGCTTTCAGTGGGAAAAACTATAAATGGCAGTAAGATGAAAATGGTGACTTTATAATATATTTGAACTCCATAGTTAGAAAACAGTTATAGTGGGATGAACCAAAATACTGTGCAAGAGTGTTCAGAGTTTTATGTTCTTCAGAACATTTCATCAGGCAAAATGATACATTTGACAAAAACCTTTCTGCTTTCTGTCTCCTAGACAGGTTGTATATTTAGTTA